GTGTTTATCTTACCCATTGCATCGACCAAAACTTCAAGCCAAGCTCCGGGATGAAGATTTATTGTTTATCAGATGTCCAGTGCTGTTTGTCTCAGGGTCAGCAGATGAGATGTGTGAAAAAGTGAGTACCCTTGTAAATCCTGCTGTGAGGGGACAGCGAGGAGGAACAGGAACGAGTCGGAGTGACGTCTGGACTGGTATATGCAGCTGGGACTTTGATTAACAGCCTCTTTTAAATATATGTTTCTGAAGGAAGACCTGGGTAGGAAACTTCATCGGATATAAGGAGGCCTGGTGGTGCTTGCTTTTGCTGCTTAAAACTTCTGGATCATGCTTGATAATTCACGTGCGGGCCACTAAAAATATGGCTGATTTAAATGTTTTGTCTTTTTTGCTCGGGTTGTAAAATTAAAAGCAGCCTATAGAAGGAGCAAGTTATTTGCTATTCTGTTTTGACCATCTCAGGTTACAAAACACAAACGCTATGCTACCAATTTCATGTTTGTCATGTTTTCATGCCAGATTCTTCTAGCAAAGCAGTTCTATCCACAAGTCAAGACTTCTGTGGTAGAAAGCAGTATTTTTGTTGAGATGAAGAACAGGTGTGCAGAGATGAGAATACAGTGGGTTTTCTGCCTTGTTTTCTTGCAAATCAGTATCTGCTGTTCTTCAACAGTTCAGATGGCATTTGGGAGTGGGTGCAATTGGCATTTTCCACTCTTGGACAATTTCTAAGGTGTCGTAATGTGTCCATGAGGAGTTGTCACCAACGTGTCAGGCCAGCAACCAGCAGATTCATGGAGTGCCCTCTTAACAGTGAAATCTTTAAGACTTTCTGAGCTGGTTCTTGGATCTCTTTGCTGAGAAAGTTGGATGGAGTCAAAGCCAGTCTCTAGGGAATTCTATTGCTACTCTGCTACTGTAGACAAACCTGACTTAAGGAGTTCCATCATTTTATTGCTAGTACTACCCCCTGGCAGTACAAATGGATTCCTTCGTCAGCGGGGGGAAGGAGCCTGCGCAGGGTTGTGACCTTTGCAGTTCTTGAAGTTCTAATTTTCTGCTATTCTGCATTTGGGTGAGGTAGAACCTTTGAGCAAATTCCATTACTGAATACAGTATCATCACATCTTCTCTGTCAAGGTGTTTTTAATGTGCACGCAGATCTGTTTTGTTTTTAAGAACTGCCTATTGTGCGTTGCACAAGCAAAGTGAGAGACATCTGGTTTGTAGCGCCTGATTCTCTTAACTTTTTCTTTCTTATTTTTTCCATAGCCATTGCTAGAAGGTGTGGCAAGCAAAATGAAAGCCCCTAAAAAAATCCATTGGATTGATAAAGCAAACCATGGGATGGCAGTCAAAGGACGAACAACAGATGATGTCATGGAAGAAACAAATGCACAAGTTTTTTCTTCGCTTAAGGAGAATATTGAACTGGAGCACAAAAGATGTGCAGCATTTAAGCAGTATCTTCATTAAGGGTTTCCTAAATGCAGCAAACTAGAGTTTGTTATTTCCGAGAGGTGTATTTTTTAAAATGGGTATTTTCAGAGCTCTAAGTGTAATGCA